TATATCGGAAACTGTGTACGATGGAAGAAACAGGGATTTCCTGGGTTCTAAGCAAGTTTTATTCCTGAGTGTTTCTTCAGTCAAATTTGGCCTTGGGTTGCAACACAATCCGGCTCTTTCCAGACATCACTGTGGTTTGTCTTCTACAGTGTGCCTTTCTACTCATTAGCACATACAAGGGAACATTTCCATATACCTGAAAAAGATCTTTAAAATCATAGTGCATCAATAATAATAATGTTTTCACATGGTGGCATACATTATCACAAACCATCGTATGCTCCTCAGATTTATGTAAAGTTGTGTAAGTTGGGCACTTTTAACCCAGGACTGCCTATATTTAACAGTATTCAACAGATAACGATATATCTTATATCCATGTATTAGATGATTACTCTGCGTACGCCCACCCCCCACCCTGCCCCATGTAATTTTTTTCCAAACAGATTTTATCCAGTTCAGTAAAACTTCCAGCAGGATGTTTTTTATTGTTGAAATTAAACCAAACGCAAACCATCTTCACTGCCATCGTCTTGGTTCCAGCTCATAGCAACTGCATAGCCCAGGGTCGAACTGCTCACCCTGCCATCAGCAGCCCAGTGCGCAAACGCCCACACTAGCAAGGCTTCTCGAAATCGAAACGCAGCTTTTAAAATTTGGATAGAAACACAGTTATCACAATTAATTTCAGAACATTTTCTTCTCGTGCTCGTTGTTTGTTTTTAAATCATTTCATTGGGGGCTCTTACAACTCTTGTTACAATTCATACATCAATTGTATCCGACATACTCATACATATATTCCATCATTCTTTTCTAGACATTTGCTTTCCATTGAGCCCCTGGGATCAGCTCCTCTCCCCATCCCCCACAACCCTCGTGGCCCCTTGATAAATTGCAGATTGTTAATTATTTGCAAATCTCACACCGACCGCTGTCTGCCTTACCCTCTGGTTTTTGTTGTTCCTCCCCCTGCATGAGGGTGTGTGGTTATGTGCCATTCATTGCGATCAGTGCTCCCCTCCCTCCTCACGTCTCCGCCCTTCCCCCTACCCTTTTGGGGTCTCTGTTCCCATTCCTGTTCCTGAAACAAACTCACTCCCCCTGTTAGTTTCCAAGACTGTAACGTCTTACAGGAGTAGAAAGCCCCTGCCTTTCTCCCACAGAGCAGCTGGTGGTTTCAAACTGCACACCATGTGGATCGCAGTGCGACTCGTAACCACTACACCACCAGGCTCCTTGTGTTCATTGTTAACTCTTCATTTTCCCCAACCTCTCCTGCCATGCCCCTAGGTAATTATTATTCCAGTTACTGTCTATAGATTCACATATCCTGGATTTCATATACAGAAATCATACAAAACACTAAGAGGAAGCAAACAAACAACAGCAACCGCATCAAAACAGAAAAACCTCAATGGAAAAGAAGGCAGAAAATATTAAAAACTGAACCAACTTTGAAGTGGGTCCAAAGGGAGATCAAATTACATAAGGCATTGCATTTTAACTGAACTGTATCTGCTATAATTAACTCTATGATGCTCTCTAAACAGAGATAGTAAAACTGTTCACATACCTGGACTATATCTGTGGCCAGAAGGAATTCACTGGAGGCTCAATTCATGTGGGAACACTTCAAATAGATTTTGGGTGACCACTGGCATCCATATCCTTCTACAAACTGGATGTTCAGAATTTAAGCTTTGTACCTTTCTCTCCTTTGTATTTGGATTTTATTATTTAACTCCT